CCCCAAAACCCCAAAACCCCAAAACCCCATGACGAAAAGAAGTGTAGTGATTGGAGCAAATCATTCATATAAATTAATAATTTTTAATGCAATGTTAGTATTTATAGAGGCCTTATTTTACGTATAGGATAATGAGTTATGTCAGTCTATTCTTTATCAAATTTTTTATTAAGACTACAAACGACTCAAGTACTAGCTCAAATCAAGCTGCATAATGTTAGAATCCTTAATTTGAAGTGCCCCTGACATAGGGACAAATGTAGGTTTATTGTAGCATTTCGGTAAATAATTGAATGGAATATATTGATTGTTGCTAAGGATCAATTATTATTGGGGAGCGTAGTGAAAATTCAATTAAGAAAAGTAAGGATTTAACAACGGCTATGGACGGTGCACAATTGGAACAACAAGATTATGGTTTCCTTGGCTTTAATTATTTTGAATCTGACTCATTTAGATTTGCTAATTCTATTGCCATTAAAAGTTTTGATAGGCATGCATGTTTTTATCAATATTTTGCTGAATTAATTCAGGTCTAGAGCACTAGTTCAATTGTTATTAACTCGGCATATTATCTGTTTAGTTTGAATGTCCAATGCTTTTTTGATAAGAAGCTTGATCGATTGACTCCAGTTTTTCTTTTTGTACCGAAGAAAGGTCGTCTGAGTTATCCTTGTGCTCGGTAAGCTTAGTAGATTCAATATCGAGGTCTTTTTCTCTAGTTTCCTCCTTTAGGCCATCGAAGTTTTCCTCGATCACCTCTTATTATTCTCTGATCATTGGCTACCATATCCTCTAAAAAATTTGAATAAATATGATGTCTAAAAATAACAAAAAGGACTTACCTTGCGAGCATTGGTGAACCAATTTTAGATTTGCCTCTTCGATAATCCACTTTCATGACTTAAAGAGTCTTTTTCTTTGTGAGTTGGGTATGGGTTGTCTAGGTGTTAATTGAGCCAATTTTTTAGAATATTAACTGATCTTTTGGCAAAATTTGGCATCCTAATGTAGCGTCTATTTTTAATTCTTGTGATTTTTAAAGCGCCTTTGTAGTCACTGTCATCCACCGAATCATCTCTATCAGTAGATGATGACATTTCATTGAGTTTGTAGTGAGTTGGCTTGTTTCCAGGAGTTTTCATATTCTCAGTTGTGAAGTATATCAAAAATTTAATTATTAAAGCAATCAAATTCTAGCTTATCTTTCTATATATTTTTCTACTATTTATTATTGGATTCCAATCAATTTATAATTTTCATACAAAAATATAATCTGAGAGTTAAGGGGTTTTGGGGTTTTGGGGTTTTGGGGTTTTGGGG